CTTCTGCTGTATCCCAGTAGCTCTCTGATGGAAAAAGGTGGAGACCCTGCGCTACAATCATCCACCTCTGGGTAAACTGTGGTGAGGTGTGACACACATGTGGCTTTAATCCATTACAGTCATTTTCTAAAACTATTATGAATGAATTTGTCAGAAGTCAAACTTAAACTCTGACATACAGTGCCTTGCGAAAGTATTCGGCCCCCTTGAACCTTTCAACATTTTGCCACATTTCAGGCTTCAAACATAAAGATATAAAATTTTAATTTTTTGTCATGAATCAACAAGTGGGGCACAATTGTGAAGTGGAATCAAATTTGTTGGATAATTTAAACTTTTTTAACAAATAAAAAACTGAAAAGTGGGGCGTGCAATATTATTCGGCCCCTTTACTTTCAGTGCAGCAAACTCAGTCCAGAAGTTCAGTGAGGATCTTTGAATGATCCAATGTTGTCCTAAATGACTGATGATGATAAATAGAATGCACCTGTGTGTAATCAAGTCTCCGTATAAATGCACCTGCTCTTTGATAGTCTCAGGGTTCTGTTTAAAGCGCAGAGAGAACCATGAAGACAAAGGAACACACCAGGCAGGTCCGAGATACTGTTGTGGAGAAGTTTAAAGCCGGATTTTGATACAAAAAGATTTCCCAAGCTTTAAACATCTCAAGGAGCACTGTGCAAGCAATTATATTGAAATGGAAGGAGTATCGGACCACTGCAAATCTACGAAGACCCGGCCGTCCCTCCAAACTTTCATCTCAAACAAGGAGAAGACTGATCAGAGATGCAGCCAAGAGGCCCATGATCACTCTGGATGAACTGCAGATAACTACAGCTGAGGTGGGGATGGTGTGTTCAGGGTGATGAGCTGTGTTGCTTTTACGCCAAACATATCGTTTTGCATTGTGGCCAAAAAGTTTGATTTTGGTTTCATCTGACCAGAGCACCTTCTTCCACATGTTTGGTGTGTCTCCCAGGTGGCTTGTGGCAAACTTTAAGAGACTTTTTATGGATATCTTTGAGAAATGGCCACTCTTCCATAAAGGCCAGATTTGTGCAGTGCACGACTGATTGTTGTCCTATGGACAGACTCTCCCACCTCAGCTGTAGTTATCTGCAGTTCATCCAGAGCGATCATGGGCCTCTTGGCTGCATCTCTGATCAGTCTTCTCCTTGTTTGAGATGACAGTTTGGAGGGACGGCCGGGTCTTGGTAGATTTGCAGTGGTCTGATACTCCTTCCATTTAAATATAATTGCTTGCACAGTGCTCCTTGAGATGTTTAAAGCTTGGGAAATCTTTTTGTATCCAAATCCGGCTTTAAACTTCCCCACAACAGTATCTCGGACCTGCCTGGTGTGTTCCTTTGTCTTCATGGTTCTCTCCGCGCTTTAAACAGAACCCTGAGACTATCAAAGAGCAGGTGCATTTATACGGAGACTTGATCACACACAGGCGCATTCTATTTATCATCATCAGTCATTTAGGACAACATTGGATCATTCAAAGATCCTCACTGAACTTCTGGACTGAGTTTGCTGCACTGAAAGTAAAGGGGCCGAATAATATTGCACGCCCCACTTTTCAGTTTTTTATTTGTTAAAAAAGTTTAAATTATCCAATAAACTTTGTTCCACTTCACGATTGTGTCCCACTTGTTTTTGATTCATGACAAAAAATATTTTTTTATATCTTTATGTTTGAAGCCTGAAATGTTGAAAGGTTCAAGGGGGTCGAATACTTTTGCAAGGTACTGTATCTGTTTCTGTGATCACTGTGGACAGTGAGTAGAAGTGACATCACTGCACGGCCCAACTTGAACAATATTAACCTGTTTTTGAGGCACGTCGACGTGAGGAGAGTCTGTTTTATTGAAACACACAAAGGAGCAGAACCATGAGACCGTCCTGGGGCCGTGTGTGGTCCATGAAGTGAAGGGTCTTAAATACTGATGTTTCCTGCATTGACATTGACTCTGAAACACCTGGTTTTGGCCCTGATCAGCTACAGACAAGTCTGAGGATGACATCATTCCCTCTGTAGAGAAAGCTCCAGAAGCAATCCTTCCTGGTCTCACGTTATGGTCAGTCTCGTACATGTCCTTCCTGGTCTCTCGTTATGGTCAGTCTCGTACATGTCCTTCCTGGTCTCACGTTATGGTCAGTCTCGTACATGTCATTCCTGGTCTCACGTTATGGTCAGTCTCGTACATGTCCTTCCTGCTCTCTCGTTTTGGTCAGTCTCGTACATGTCCTTCCTGGTCTCTCGTTATGGTCAGTCTCGTACATGTCCTTCCTGGTCTCTCGTTTTGGTTAGTCTCGTACATATCCTTCCTGGTCTCTCGTTTTGGTCAGTCTCGTACATGTCCTTCCTGGTCTCACGTTATGGTCAGTCTCGTACATGTCCTTCTCGGTCTCTCATTATGGTTAGTCTCGTACATGTCCTTCCTGGTCTCTTGTTATGGTCAGTCTCGTACATGTCCTTCCTGGTCTCACGTTATGGTCAGTCTTGTACATGTCCTTCCTGGTCTCTCGTTATGGTCAGTCTCGTACATGTCCTTCCTGGTCTCACGTTATGGTCAGTCTCGTACATGTCATTCCTGGTCTCACGTTATGGTCAGTCTCGTACATGTCCTTCCTGGTCTCACGTTATGGTCAGTCTCGTACATGTCCTTCCTGGTCTCACGTTATGGTCAGCCTCGTACATGTCCTTCTCGGTCTCTCCTTATGGTTAGTCTCGTACATGTCCTTCCTGGTCTCTCGTTATGGCCAGTTTCGTACATGTCCTTCCTGGTCTCACATTATGGTCAGTCTCGTACATGTCCTTCCTGGTCTCTCGTTATGGTCAGTCTCGTACATGTCCTTCCTGGTCTCACGTTATGGTCAGTCTCGTACATGTCCTTCCTGGTCTCACGTTATGGTCAGTCTCGTACATGTCCTTCCTGGTTTCTCGTTATGGTCAGTCTCGTACATGTCCTTCCTGGTTTCTCGTTATGGTCAGTCTCGTACATGTCCTTCCTGGTCTCTCGTTTTGGTCAGTCTCGTACATGTCCTTCCTGGTCTCTCGTTTTGGTTAGTCTCGTACATGTCTTTCCTGGTCTCTCGTTTTGGTTAGTCTCGTACATGTCCTTCTCGGTCTCTCATTATGGTTAGTCTCGTACATGTCCTTCCTGGTCTCACGTTATGGTCAGTCTCGTACATGTCCTTCCTGGTCTCTCGTTATGGTCAGTCTCGTACATGTCCTTCCTGGTCTCTCGTTATGGTCAGTCTCGTACATGTCCTTCCTGGTCTCTTGTTATGGTATAGTGCTGCATTTGACACAATAGACCACAGCATTCTACTGCAGAGGCTAGAATGTGATATAGGTCTTAGAGGAACAGCCCTTGGCTGGTTTAAATCCTATTTATCAGATCGGTATCACTTCGTCAACGTAAATCAGAACTCGTCGCCTTATTCTGGAGTAGAATTCGGTGTGCCGCAGGGTTCGGTACTCGGACCCATTCTTTTCACTCTCTACATGCTGCCGTTAGGAAACATTATTTAAAAAAAATGGAATTAATTTCCACTGCTGCAGATGACACACAGCTTTATCTGTCAATGAAGCCAAATCAGACAGATCAGTTGGAAAAGCTTAGTGCTGCATAAAGGACCTTAAAACGTGGATGACTCTTCCTACTTCTCAACCCGGAGAAGACAGAAGTGATCCTACTCGGTCCGAAGCGCCTGCGTGACTCCCTTACTAACCAGATAATCACTCTGATAATGTCAGTATTATACCCAGTAACACTGTGAGGAATCTTGGAGTCATTTTTGACCAAGAACTCTCCTTCAAGGCTTATATAAGCCAAGCAACTAAAACGGCGTACTTCCACTAACGGAACATCCCTAAAATCAGGAATTTTCTTCCTAAAAGTGACGCGGAAAAACTTATTCACGCTTTTGTCACCTCGAGACTTGACTACTGTAACGATTTATTGGCAGCGTTCCCTAAAACCTCTTTGAAGAGCTTCCTCTAAAAACATGTAGAATAGTTCCCCTCTGTCTGGGGCCAGGACTCTCCTGAAAGACTCTGAAGTCTCAGTGGGACTCTCCGGGTTTAAAGGACCCATATTATTATATAGGACCTTTAAGAAAGATCAATACATGAATAAATGATTATTATTTATATATTTATATATATAATATTATCATGATAATAATAAAACATGGATCTGTACAGTCTGGAGAAATGATCCATTCAAATTAAACAGTATAGATACTAACAGTAGAATAATGTCATGGATTTTTATTTTTTTTGTGTAAGGGCAGTGGCACAGTTTAGATCAGACAGTTTGGATCAGTTTAGATTAGTCTGGATCAGACAGTTTGGATCAGTCTGGATCAGAGACCAGAGTCTGACAGAGAAAGTGTTTTTCCAGTAGCTGTGTTCCTGTCAGTGACAGTAACTAATGTAAAATACAGGTTTATTAAACATATTTAAAGACATGTTTAAACTGTTCTCTTCCACAGTGGCACCAACAGCAGGAAACCTCTGTGTCCTTCACATTTATCACATGTAGCTTACGACAGAGAGGCTCAGTTTGAATGAGTCTCCTGCGCCCCCTGCTGGTTCTGTGACGCACACACAGGGCAGACACTTGTTTCCTCTGAAACAGAAGGGAGGGGCTGGTGACGTCACATCTGAAAGTGAAAGTATTTGGACAGAGACGTGTCTGAGACGGTGAGTCTGACTTTACTTTAATGTTTATTATTAGGATCTTATAGTTTGTGATTGTGATCCACTTGTGTAGAAAACAGTTTCTCTTCATAGTGACTTTAACATAGTGTTGTCTTTATCAAAGTGTTGGACTGAAGCAGGAAATGAAGTCTGGCCTGAAGTTTAGGCTTGTGCTAATGTCTCTATAGTAGTTTATGTAAATGATTACAGCCTTTTTAAAACAGTTCACATGTAAACAGTGAAATATATCTGTGGTTTCTCCTCCAGCCGAGTGAATGTGACCATGGCTTCAGAGAGAGAGCAGATACCAGGAACCATCAGTGAAGAAGCAGCAGGGGGCAGCACTGAGCCAGGTGTCTGCGTCAGAACAAAGTGAGTATCATGTTTCAGTCCAGTCAGTTCTACAGCACAAACACTACAGAAACAGCTGCAAACCTGTCCCCTTTAGGAGCAGAGGAGGAGTTTAAAGTAAAACAGGACTGTTTGTGTTGTCTTCTTCTGTGGCTCAGGGACAGAATTCTATTCAACTAGAATTCTATAAACAAAGTTTGTTTTACTGAGAAGCTGTAACTAAAGTATAAGTAAATAGTAAAGTTCTGAAATGCAGTAGAATGCAGTTCATTATTTGGCGTTGGCCTCTTTACTCTGAGTTTGCAGGTCTGAACATTTATATATTTCTAAATGACTAAAACCAAGCAGCAGAAACGTGTTCCTCTCGTCGTCAGCGAGAGCCGTGTGAACAAATGCACTGATGTCAGTGGTTTAGTCTGGACTATTATGAACTGCTTTGAAAAGAGGATTCTGAATGTGCTTTTCAGACACAGGGACTGCAGTGGTTAGAGCTCAGGACTCGCTTCCATCTGCTTTAAGTCCTTCTGTTGATCTGAATCTAAAATGACACATGATTTAATATTATTTTTAAATCATGATTTCACTTGATTATGGATTGTTTGATCGCAGTCATTTAACAAAGTCCAAATGTTTGTATTCTGTTGATGGTTGAACCATGGACCCAGAGTAACATGGTCTTTCTCTCCACACAGATCCTCAGTGTCCAGTACTGTGTCCCTGAAGAGTGACTGGTCTATGGCTGATCCACTAAACTTCAGTCTTGAAGCTGCTTCTTCAAAACCACAGTGAGAACAAAGGAAACACTAACACTGATCTGACTTTAGATTACATTTAGTTCTGTTCAATCCCACCTGGTGTATTTTGGTTGTTTCCAACTCAAAAGCTCTATTAAAGGAGCAGACTTTGTCCTAAATGCTTGTGTTACGGAGGATGGACTGTATGGTGCTAATTCTTATGGTTCAAACATGAAACACGATGGGCGTCGATCAGGACGTCGGAGAGGAAGGTAGGGAGAGACTGGATTGAAGCTCCAATATTTATTACAGCTGCACAGAACGATAGTCTGCAAACACAGACTAATACTATGAAGAACCAAACATATTATTCAATAACTTCTTCTAAAAGGATGTGTTCTTATATACACTCTCATATTCAGTACATGTCAAATATTATTAATAAACACAACATACATAAACAGCATTAAAGGCTGTATAAAGAAGTTCCCTGAAGAGGGCGCCATTTCTCAGACGGGCCACTGAGTAATGTCGCCCTCTAGCGACCGCGGAGGTCATTACAATATTCACACAAAAACGTGACAAATTGTTAATGTTGAACATGAAAATGAGCTGAATATGCTCCAAGATAGTGACACACTACACTGAAGGTACACACATTATAACTTATCACAGAACCACACTCCACACACAAGGACATGATTTATTGTTGATCCAATCCCTTTACCTCAACAACATCTCAGAGATTTCAAAGCCTGAAGCCTAAATTCACTGAACAAGTTATTGTCACAGTTTGGTGCAATATTCTGAAAATGTGCAGTTTACAACAAGAACAATCTTCTGAAAAATGTCAAATGGAGTGACAGTGTCTAGATAATGTGACGTAAGAGGACAATAGTATTTATCACCCACTGTTCTGTCATTTTGCTCTCCATGACCACATGCTAATTGGTAAATCAGGCCGTTGCTAAGCTACTTAGGTACTGGCCCCTTCCCATGAGCCTCCTGTGCAGTTTTTATATTTGTTATTGAAGCTTAGGAGCTGCTGTGACTGATCCAGGATCTGTTTCTATAAAGAGGATGGATGCTGCGACAGGACAGTGATTAAAACATAATAATAATAATAATAATAATAATAATAATAATAAAGATTAGCCAAAAGGAGAGATGCATTGTCCCAGGTTAGCAGCAGTGCTAATTTACACCTGTGGTTCCTGAGCAGGTTGTTGTAAAACAGTAAAATAAAAGGAGATGGAAACATGACCAACATTATCAGACAGAAAATACTATTTCATTTACCACAAGTTATAATAAAACCACACACACACTCCACACACCACACACACACACACACCATCCACACACACACACACGTTTTTGTTACCTGGTGGGTCCCTTTGACAGGGCCGTTCAGAATGGGACCCATAGACATAATCTTTTTTTACTGGGACTACTTTAAGTAATACAAAACAGTCAATAGAAAACAAACAACTCTTTTTAACCCTTGTATTATGTTAAGGGTCAATTTGACCCATTTCAGTTTTTGTGTTGATCAAAGTACTGGTTATCCTTTTTTTCTTGCTGAAATTTGGTGACTTTTCCTCATCTAGGGTCATGAACCGATGTGTAAAATCTGGACACTTTGATGTGTAGTGGAATTTTTTTTCAACATAATACAAGGGTTGGAATTTTATTTGATTTTTTTTTTTCGAATTGCAGTGATTCTATTTTTGACATAGAATTTAATGCCACTCCATGTCCGATGTCTAAGGTCATCTGGTGAGGCATTAATGCAGGCCAGGCCAGGCCAGGCCAGGCAGTGAGACTTCCCAGGGACCTTTCCAGTCTGTATGAAAGGTGTCATGGTCTTCTCCACAGCCTTCACCTCAGATGCAGACCATGGCTTTCTCTAACGTTCTAGGGAGAGAAATAAAAATATATTAGCAATATACACTCCCAGGGTTAGGACCAAGCAGCCTGGCTGTAATCCCCCACCTGGTACACTTACCAGAAGGGGCACTGCCACTACCATGGGGTGCATCTGGATGAATGGTTGAAGGTTCTCCGCTTGAAGTTTCTTTTAGCCCGTCCGTTTGTGAGAGGATCTCTACTGCTCTCCCTGTCGCACAGAAAATAAAAATACAAGTGGCCTTTAGGGGAAAAAAATCATACATATTTTAATAATATCAAGAATTACCTTCAGGCTCAATTTGTATCTGGTCGAGGCTCTTTCCTTTGAATTCCGTCACTCTTCCCTGCTCCATGGCCATCAACACTTTGCTGATTTTGGCCAGCTCCAGTGTCCCCTCTGGTAGTCTGTAATATTGCTGTGGATGCGAATGTCATGGCCGAGGAAGTTGGCAAGTATGTCCATCTCATTCTCTTTCATATTGAGAACTGTAGACATAGTAGCTATGTGCTTTCTAAGTTTGGTTGAGGATAGCATCTCTGGATGCACCGCACCACATTCTTTGGCTACCTGCCGTAGGAGTCTGATCCCCTGATGTGGGTGTCTGCGCCCGGGCGGGAAAAGAAGTATGGGTTATGGTCAGAGATGGAACAGGCCCTTCTGTTCTCCACCAGCACCTCCATCCAAGCAATCATTTCAGGAGTCAAAAGAACCACACTTTCCGACTTCTTTTCCCTTTAATTTCAATGCGTTGAAATCAGCAAAAAGCTGTGTCAGCAACACAGCTTTTTGCTGATGCCCTCCGGTACAGGCTGGGCTAGGGAGCAGAGGGACTGGACCCTACTTCTACCTGGTTTACCTGGTTTAGCCTGGTTTAGCCTGGTTTAGCCTGGTTTAGCCTGGGCATCTTTCTGTGAAAGCCGGCACCTGGCCACATGCCTCCACAGCCACTTTCGCTTAAGCAATGCCCCACAGTCTATACAGTGCAAAAACTCACTGGATTTAACTGGGGAATTTGGCTGTTTAGCTGGGACTAAAGTTCCAATGCCGGCCTTTAAAACCTCAACATTGTGCTCACGGTTTCCACTATTCCTGATCAAATCAAAGTGAAGTTTACGTGCTTTAGATTTCACAGGTAGAGCCAATGCTCTGGCTACGTCACTTTCATTTCCATGTTTTCTAGTCAAATGACGGGACATTTTGTGGCAGGACATTGAACAGTAGAGGCAGAAGTGTCTCTTGCTGTAAACTCGCCCCCCATTTTTCTTCTTTTGCAGCTGCATGATAACAATCTTATTTGCCTTTGGTTCGTCACTTTCCGAGTCTTGAAGAAAAGTGTTTTTGATTTTTCTTTTTCCATACTTTTTTACAGGTTTCTTCTTGACAGTTAAATCGTCAGAATCTGAGTCGACTTCATCAATTAGGGACTCTTGACTAAGCTGCACAAACAACAAATAATTAGTAATAATTCTATATAACAATTTGAAGTCATGACTTGTAATCAGCACTTACCAGTGGTTTGTAAGCGTGCGCTTCAGTGTGCTGCTCTGTGATTGGCTGCAGCCTAATGAACCACACACTTGCACCTTTTCTAGCCTGACACCTGATTTCCTCTGTTGTGCTGCTCCATGATTGGCTCCAGCCTCTGTTGTGCTGCTCCATGATTGGCTCCAGCCTCTGTTGTGCTGCTCCATGATTGGCTCCAGCCTCTGTTGTGCTGCTCCATGATTGGCTCCAGCCTCTGTTGTGCTGCTCCATGATTGCTCCAGCCTCTGTTGTGCTGCTCCATGATTGGCTCCAGCCTCTGTTGTGCTGCTCCATGATTGGCTCCAGCCTCTGTTGTGCTGCTCCATGATTGGCTCCAGCCTCTGTTGTGCTGCTCCATGATTGGCTCCAGCCTCTGTTGTGCTGCTCCATGATTGGCTCCAGCCTCTGTTGTGCTGCTCCATGATTGGCTCCAGCCTGCTGGACTGAAATTGCCCCAGTGTGCCCCTCCTTGATATCCCACAACCCACCACCAGGGTTCCGACACATAACACACTTTTTTCAGGAAAGTAAACCTCCAGGGGTCCTTTCCATATTTTTACAGAGACTGCATAAGGACCGTTAGAAAAGCATTACCCATTGATTATTAAGCTTGGACCAGTGGGGTCCGGTGTTCGGGCCCCACCACGTAAAACCAGTCCCCATGACGTGAGTGGAATCTCAGGTTATGGAACCCACCAGGAGTTGAAAACAAGTGCACACACACACACACACACACACACACACAGACACACACACAGAGATACGCACTTTTATTTATATTGCACAAGGCAAATCCACTTAAACGGTTTCAGAAAAACAATACACAAATTCTGGAATGGCCTCACTCTGGTCTCTCTCTGGTCTCTCTCTCTGGTCTCTCTCTCTGGTCTCTCTCTCTGGTCTCTCTCTCTGGTCTCTCTCTCTGGTCTCTCTCTCTGGTCTCTCCCTCTGGTCTCTCTCTCTGGTCTCTCTCTCTGGTCTCTCTCTGGTCTCTCTCTGGTCTCTCTCTGGTCTCTCTCTGGTCTCTCTCTGGTCTCTCTCTCTGGTCTCTCTCTGGTCTCTCTCTGGTCTCTCTCTGGTCTCTCTCTCTGGTCTCTCTCTGGTCTCTCTCTGGTCTCTCTCTGGTCTCTCTCTCTGTTCTGCATCTGACCAATGTTTAATGTTAAAGTATTTATGTCAGATTTAGTCTCATGGTAAATGCAGTTTAGTAAAAACACATGTCTTACCTGTTCTGTTTGATGGTTGAACCATGGACCCAGAGTAACATGGTCTTTCTCTCCACACAGATCCTCAGTGTCCAGTGCTGTGTCCCTGAAGAGTGACTGGTCTATGTGGTTTCCACCAGAGTTCAGTCTTGAAGCTGCTTCTTCAAAACCACAGTGAGAACAAAGGAAACACTAACACTGATCTGACTTTAGATTACATTTATATTTAAAGTTTACGACTGGACAGAGTGAGGCTTAGTCATAGAATCACCAGTGGATTAAACATGAACATCACATGTGAAAAGAGGGTCATGGTCCATGACCATGGAACGTGTGTATTTTAGTAATGTGCTTTTGTGAAATAAAGTGTATATTGTTGCACATTTGACCTTGTAGTGAGAGCTGCATGTGCTCATGGTGCTTCAGTCTCATCACAGTGGTCTGTACCATGCTTTAGGATCCAGTGTTTAGGAGGTGTTCTCTGCTGTGGGACCCCCGCACCAGAAAACATACAGAACCATTGATCCTGGAGCTGTGTAGACACAGATCAGAAGGTACCCATCTGACCACAGCTACACTACAAGGTCAAACACACAACAACATCACCTTTACTACACACAAAGTCTCATCAATGTTATTTTATATTACTTTTAATAAACCCATTACAGCTCTAATGGGGCACAGTGGCTGAGTGGATAGCACTCTCGCCTCTCAGCAAGAAGGTCCTGGGTTCGAATCCCGGTCGGACCAGGGCCTTTCTGAGTGGAGTTTGCATGTTCTCCCCGTGTCTGCGTAGGTTTCCTCCGGGTACTCCGGTTTCCCCTACCACTAAAAATATGCCCAATAGTTCTGGCATGTGCCTCCTGTACTGGCCCCGCTCCCATCTCTGTGTGAAGTGAGAGACAAATGCCAAAAATTAACAATTGTAAACTGCTTTGAGACTCAGATCTGCAGTGAAAAGGCGGTATATAAATAAAGATTACTACTACTACTACTACTAATATCCAATGTTTTTGTCCAGAGAAAAGTCACGGTGGACTCCAGCCCCAGGGCCCAAGACCTCAGGGCCACAAGACCTCAGGGCCCAAGACCTCAGGGCCCAAGACCTCAGGGCCCAAGACCTCAGGACCCAAGACCTCAGGGCCCAAGACCTCAGGGCCCAAGACCTCAGGGCCCAAGACCTCAGGACCCAAGACCTCAGGGCCCAAGACCTCAGGACCCAAGACCTCAGGACCCAAGACCTCAGGACCCAAGACCTCAGGACCCAAGACCTCAGGGCCCAAGACCTCAGGACCCAAGACCTCAGGGCCCAAGACTCAGGACCCAAGACCTCAGGACCCAAGACCTCAGGGCCCAAGACCTCAGAGCGACACAAGGTTTGTCTGTTTCCCTGTTTATGACCAGAGGTAGAAAACACACATGCACTCAGTTCAAAGAACTGTTGTTACTTTGTAATTGTTTTACTGCAGTAAATGTTTCTCCATCTAACGTTGAGATCATATTTTACAGTCAACTCTGGAGCGCCACGCAGTTAAAGTAGCAACGATATTAGTATCACCTGTGAGATCACAAACTCGATCCTCACGTCCTTTTTGTCTCTTATGTTTGTGTGTGTTTGAAGATGGTGCATTCACACGGAGCCACTTCCAGCCTCATGGACATTTATAGGTCACATTCTAACTTTAACAATATTCACAAATATAGTGGAGGAGAATATTCTTAAGGTCTCATTTAGATGTTTTTCATTTGGAACAAGTGTAAAAATACTGAGTCTGTACCTTTAACATCTCCTCAATTATAGAAACATTTCCTCCTGTTTAATCTGAATATAACGATACGTGGACAAACCAGTCTGACACCTGCTCCTGAAAGTATTCCACCTCTTTCACTTTTATATCATTTTTCAACAGTGAAGCACGATATATTGGTATAAAATATCGATATCAGCCGATGTTCATCAATCCATGTTCAGGCTTGCTAGTGGATACTCGATTACAGAACTATAAATCATCTTTATGAAACACAACAATATTATTATAGCATGAAATGTACCCACTTTTAATACTATGTTAAACCTTATCTAGTTTTTAATGTCCCGTCAATTATTATGGTGACTATTTATTCTTGTCTATTTTTATCCATGACTCTTTTTATAACTACTACATACGCTGCATTAAAGATAGTTTTCACTCAAAAATAAGAGCCACAAAAAGCTCCTGTGTGCCTTTTCCCACATCGCCCATTCTAACTAAAATAAAATACATTCTGAAAACAGAGGAATAAATTCAGTATGTACAAACTTTTATCATCTCAGAATTATTATTATTATTATTTTAAACACATTGTTATCAGCAAATACTGGTTTTCGGCCATAAACAGAAACATTAATATCGGATATCAAAATCGGCCAAAGTGTTCATATCGGTGCATCCCTGATTTTCATTTCTACAGCTGTAATCTCAAACGGTTTTCATTTTCTGTCAATCTACTCGGAATACTCTATGAGAAAGGTTAAGATGTTTTTTTAGGATCTCTTTGCCGTTTGGTTAAGAATCAAACACAAAGAATATCCCATGTACATAAGTGTTCAAAATAGTCCAAACTGCATGAGGTGGTTGAGTACTTTTGGATGCACTGTGCTCTAAAAAGCTGTAGGTAATACTCTGCTGAGACTTACTTCTTTCACAGATATAAGAGAGACTCTGGAAAATGGGGAATAAGCTTAAAGAAACATGCTGATAGAAGTAATATAAAGAAAATCATGATTAAACAGTTACATCTGCATTCCTTCACTTGAAGAAGAGCTCCAGATGCCTCTGCAGGATCAAAAACGGCGTCTGATCAGCAGATGTGGGAGTGACCCAGTTGAACTTCCCCACTCTTGAGGATAACAGTGCAGAGGAGCTAGAACTCAGCATTACGAAAGAGGAGATTATTAAGGCCATTCTCCATGTTGTGCATGAAGGGAGGTAAAAGTCCAGGACCGGACTCAATACCAATGGAAATATTCAAAGCTTTTAAAGATAAACTTGCACAACCCTTGCTAGATATGTATCAGGAATCCTTTAAGAATGCGTCCCTGCACTCATCATTAAATATTGCCACAATTACTTTGTAGGGTCCAAACAGTGAAGCCATGTAGTTGACACTCTCATAATCCATATAGTGTGTAAAGTGAGTGAATAAATCCAGGGAACAGTAAAATGCAATTAAAAAACTCTTTACTGAGTATTCACAAAACAAAAACACATACTGTACAAAAAGAAAAGAACTAGAGGAGAGAGTATATGGAGAGAGTATCGAGGTCAAAAAACTGTGTGGCTCCACTCCACACTCCCCCTGGCACACCTGCACCTTAACTAGGGCCAGGACTGAGAAAAAATACACAAATATATATTAAATCAAAATAAATCAATGATTAACTTAGCAATAATGACTTACAAAACAGCTAACTAAATTAGATGCAAAATATCCAAATTAAATCAATTGCCAATTAATCATAAATCTAATCACAAAAATAATGTATTTCAATCAAATAATAATACAAACAAATAGAAATGTATCAAAATAAAATCAAAACAACTAAACCTCTATTTAGGCTCCTACATACTTTGTTGTTGAAGCCCAATAAAGCAGCAGCCGATTGTAGCTCTTATAGGCCAATTTCACTTCTAAATTGTGACTCTAAAATCCTGTGTAAAGTACTGGCTCCAAGACTTGAACCACTTTTACCAAAAATAATACATCTGGACCAAAACGGGAAAAAAATGTGATTTATTGCGATTAATTCATTACAAAGCTTTTAATTAATTAGATCTTTTTTTAATCGAGTCCCAGCCCTAGTTTTTGGGGAAAAAGGGGTTTTAGTTGTATTTATTTATTTTTATTCATATTTTATTTTGACATAACAAAATGTCACAGAAACATTGTTCATCATCATAATACAGGACATTTCCATTTTTCCAATGATGGGCTCATAGTACAGTCCTATGTCACCATTTATCAACAGATTATGCCCATATAAAAGGTTTACCAAAATGGTAAAAGAAAGGAACATAAGAGTAAAGAAAAATACAAATAAAAACTGGAGTAGTGTTCATGCGGTAAAGGGAGACAATAAATGTTCTAACAAATGGGGAAAAGTCACAGAAAGTCTGCTCTAGTTGGGGAAATGTATTTTATCCATTTGTTCCAAATGCAATAAAATGTTTCTCTTTAATGTTTATAATATAGGTTAACTTTTCCATTTGATTGATCTCAAACACTATGTCAGTCCAGCCATCCAGTGAGGGCCGTGTGGGACTCATCTCTTAGTAATAATCTTTTTACTTGCTGCAAGGAGGATTTGTAGAAACTTTCTGTCACTTCTTCTTTCCACGAAGGTAACTTTACCCAAATACAAACACTCAAAGTTAAAAGGAATGACAACACCAAACACTGAACTCAGGCTTATCTGAATTTCTCTCCAATACCCTTGTAATTTCCAACACGACCAAAATATGTGGAAATGATTTGCCACAACTGTGCCACACTGTCTCCAGCACGACAAGTCATTTGTGCGTTTGCACTGAGCTGGAGTTTTGAAATATCTAATGATATTGTTCCAACAGTGTTGTCTCCAGGTCAGAGAGGCAGAGTCCACTGGAAAGCCAGCATACGAGCCCATTCATCCTCTGATATCACTGCTGCTGCCTCCCTTTCCCATTTCTGCTTTATATAGACAGTCTCACATCTGTCATTTGGAAATATGGCTTTGTAAATTCTCTAAATCATTCTCTGTGACATAGACCCATATGCTGACTTTAGTGTTTTAAAAAACTCTTCTTCAGAGTCAGTAAAATGAGCTGATTTACATTTAGAATTAAAGTTGGACCTGGAGGTACCTAAAAAAATCTGTTTGTAAATTGTGTCTTGTCTGTAATCCTAGAAAACGTTGAAAAACATTTGTCTCTGTAAATGACCAGTAAGTGGTCAAACCCTTCTTTACCCAAGATTTAAAAACACAATCATTTTGTTTGGAGGGAATTCTGTATCGAAGGCACACCATCTGAACAAAGTCAGCATTTTCTCAGTCTGAGTGAGTTTAAGAACCTTGTCCCACACCTTGAGAGTTAAATCCACCCAACAGTTCCCACTTTCTCTCAGCTGAGGTCTCAGTTTCCTGTCCCCAATTCCGGCCTGCAGAGGAAATGCTGTTGACATTCCACACTCTAGTTCCTTCCATTCTGCTTTGTAATCATCATTACACCAACATAAGAGAGGAATCAGCTGAGACGCAAAACAGAAGTACCTAAAACATGGTAGGGCCATTCCTCCTTTCTCTTTACTCCATTGCATTGTGCAGTATCGGATCCTAGGCCTTTGTCCTTGACAGATAAAACGTGATACCTGTTTGTCCCACTCCCTGGGGTTTTAGTTTTTAGTTTTATAAATTCTCCACCACTGCTCCTGACGTAAGCCTCAGCAGCATCTGGGTCAAATGTAGCCTGGCCTTATCCATCCGTACACTCGGTCATTATCATTTCCTGCATGTAACGTCTGGGTCTGGTCCCTGTGTTTGTGATTACAATCGGCTGAATCCCATCCGACCAATCAGAGAGCGCGGGAGGCGGGTGTTGTAGTTAGATGTGGGTGACGTCAAGAGTTTGTGTCGAACGGGCAGGTTGTAGTTTGGCGGAGAATACGATAGTAAAGTATTCTGCTCTGGTTCTATCAAGAAACTGAAGCCGGAGCAAGAGGAATGTTTAGCAAATGTAATCTCTGGAAAAGATTGTGGCTCTACTCCCCACGGGCTCCGTTAGCGCCAAAGGAGATGGCTAAAGCTAGGCTAAATGCTAAAGCTAGGCTAAATGCTAAATGCTAACGACTCACTCGGGCTCATTACAAACGTCACGGTAAACTCAGATCCAATGGTTTCAATCTGCAAAAGGAGTTAGCCCCTCCCACCTGTTAACGGAGTCTGTGTGTACTATGCTGTGGTACGACCAGGCTGGGTCAAATGCAGAGGATGAATTATCCTACGGGGATTAATAAAGTTTATCTGTACCTGACCCAAAATCTTATGGGAAAAAATAATATAAATTAAAAGATGAATATAATAAAATACTAATAAATAAATAATAATAAAAAAAGTCTAAATGTGTCCTTTTTAAATAAATAAAACCTCAAACCGATGATGAACCTTTGATTTCTTCAAAAGTCACTTTGTAATTAAGTCACAAACACTGACCTCAGTTTGTTCTGAAGAAACATTAAAAACATAAAAAACTGAGTCTTTCTATAGATTTGTTTTCAGTCACTTTTCTTTTCATGTTTTTATCGTTTCTCTTTCGTGCTCATTACATCATGTTTTCTTTATTCAGGTTAAAGGGCTGTCGTTTGTCAGAGATCAGCTGTTCCTCTGTGGCCTCAGCTCTGGAGTCCAACCCCTCACATCTCACACTCCTGGACCTGGGTCAGAACATTCTGTCTGATTCAGCAGTGTCTGATCTGTGTGGTTTTCTACAGAGTCCAGACTGTCGACTGGAGACACTCAGGTCAGTTCACTGCACAGAAACACTACACACTAAAGTGTTTCATATGAAACTGCAAACACACTTTAAATGATTATAAATGATTCACACAAACATTTGTTACTGTGAATGTCTTTAAAGGAGCAGTATGTAAAAATCTGGCCCAAAGTGGTACTGCAGTCACAGTCAGTATTGTGTAGTCCTCTCCCACTCTCCCTGACTCAGGTTGCCAGATACACACCAAATCCAGCAGCAAACACAGGGAGTTATTGTATCAGTTGTTTGTCTCTCACATTGTCATGAGCCGTGCTAATGTTGAATGAATGTTTTCTTTTATTTTTATTTGGACATTTGAGATAAAAAAAAAAAAAAAAAAATAAAAGCAATGTAATTATAGATTATGCAAAATAAATAAGCAATTGATGTCCAAAATTGGGAGTGGGAAGAATGGATGTTGGAACATACTTCTTCAGCGTATCAACATCAGGGTTTGCTCCAGAGCAGCCATTCCCAAAGTCAGTAACACCGGGGCCCCTTAAAAATCTGACGGGTCTGAGCGGCCCCGAAATAATAACCAAGAAGACAACGTTAAAAATAGGCTCTTCTCGTTATTTTATTTGGGGGATAGAGCCTCTGCTTCAAACGTGTAGATGACCATCCCCACTTTGTAAAACACAAATGACAATTTGATGATTCAAGTCAAATAATGAACACAAATATTGTAATATTACAAACAAAATATTGATCATTTAACACACAATAATTATATAAAACATTTTTTTTAATGACCTCTCCCGGCCCCCCTGCAGTACCCCCGCGGCCCACCAGGAGGCCCCACTTTGGGAGACACTGCTCCAGAAGATATCACCTTTCATTTTTATTTATTCCCTATTTTTTAGACAAACATATATAAGTCCCACATCAAAAAGAGACTAACATTATTTTAATTGGGTACATGTGGTCTCAAATTATGTTTTTACAATTAAGCTGTAATCTGCAAAAAAACGTCTTGACCCTCGTCTTTTACCGTTTTTTAGAGCAATCTGTCAGAATGTGATATCATGCAATTTCATTCAAAAAGCTTCTGCCCGGGATCGAACCCAGGTTTGCAGATTAAGAGCACAGCGACCTAACCACTAGACTACCTGTGCACAAACACTAATGTTTTCTCAGCTAGACCACTAACTTTAGCGTCGCACGAAAACTTTTATCAGCTCTCAGTTTTTCAAAGGCGTCCTGATATAAATCCTTAGTCTTTGTTTTGTCATTAATGATTTGAGAGTCATAACAAGACCTTTTTTTGTTTTGTGCCACATGTTATTTTACCAGTGAAACGGCGAAGGGTAGGGCTTGAGAATGAAAACAATAACAACTTTTACGGGTCGTAAAACTAATTTTGATGATCAAATATCTCTGAACTACAGTTATCAGTTAAAGATGTATTCGAAAAGAGAATTAATAATGCTTTTTGAAACATTGGGGCCATTTAATGATGACATATTACATACTGCTACTTTAACTCATGTTTATATTATGTTCAAATAGTTTCTCACATTTATGTACCACTTACATGGAACTTCAAAGCTAGAACTGTGTTTAAGGAAGAGAAAAGTCTCATGTTTTTGGTCGGGCCGGGACTTTAACGACTTAATGAAGATTAATTAATTACACAAAAATTAGTGCGTTAACATTTTTTACGCATTTTAATCATATTTATTTTTGCACCGCAGAACATTTCTCACTGGATGAGTTTCAGACGGACCGATTATACTGACGCACCAACTGACAACAAACCACAGTGAACATGAACCATGGATCTATTATAATAACTGGGTATTACAGCTTGGAGCTGAAGGACCCATGTGCTCACTGCAGACTAAACCAGACTAAACCAGACTAAACCAGACTAAACCAGACTAAACCAGACTAAACCAGACTAAACCAGTCTAAACCAGACTAAACCAGACTAAACCAGACTAAACCAGTCTAAACCAGACTAAACCAGACTAAACCAGACTAAACCAGTCTAAACCAGACTAAACCAGACTAAACCAGACTAAACCAGTCTAAACCAGACTAAACCAGACTAAACCAGACTAAACCAGTCTAAACCAGACTAAACCAGACTAAACCAGTCTAAACCAGACTAAACCAGACTAAACCAGACTAAACCAGTCTAAACCAGACTAAACCAGACTCAACCAGACTAAACCAGACTAAACCAGTCTAAATCAGACTAGAACAGACTTAACCAGACTAAACCAGTCTAAACCAGACTAAACCAGTCTAAACCAGACTAAACCAGATTAAACCAGACTAAACCAGTCTAAACCAGACTAAACCAGACTAAACCAGACTAAACCAGTCTAAACCAGACTAAACCAGACTCAACCAGACTAAACCAGACTAAACCAGTCTAAATCAGACTAGAACAGACTTAACCAGACTAAACCAGTCTAAACCAGATTAAACCAGACTAAACCAGTCTAAACCAGACTAAACCAGACTAAACCAGACTAGAACAGACTAGAACAGACTAGAACAGACTAAACCAGTCTAAACCAGACTAAACCAGTCTAAACCAGACTAAACCAGACCGTTGGTTGGCCCTGTGGATGGGAAGTATATTTCTAAATATGGTATTGCACTTAAAGGCAAAACTTGCACTGGTCTGTTGGACTTGAACAAAAATAAACAATATTTGTGTTGCTTAAACTTAATGTATTCATCATTATTTAATGTTTACTAAAAATCCATGTGAAAAAACCGCTTCTCTCTGTTCTCAGGTCAAATATTTATATGTGATTAAAATGTGATTTATGAAGTGTCCGAGGGAACCGACGTGTATTTGATAACTCTGATGAGGCAAGTGCGTTTGTGCGATGTTTGAAAGGTGACAGTCAGAAGATTGAATCCAGAACTGCAATCACACGTTACTGCTAATCTGTTCATGTGCCTATATTTGTGCATTTTAATTTGTGCATACTGTGGTTATAATGTTTCTTTTATACTTAACAAGTTGGAGGTCGAACTCATTGTTTGTTAGATTTTGGTGGTTTTGTAACCAATAATAATGATTATTATATGTTAAATATGACTCTTATTTGACTTAACTGGGGAGGGGCCCTGTTCGGTGACGCTCTGGTATGTGCTGCTCCTCCATGGCTGAGGTGGATCAGCTCGTCTCCATAACCCAGTCTTCTTTAGGGATGCTGGGATGGGCTAGCTGCTGTTTAACCGTTGTGCACCTTCTTGTTTTATTAGTTTGTTTTTTTATTTTCCTTGGGGAGGGTTGTTTTCTATTGTCCCCCAAGTTTTCTTTTACCCTTCCCCTCATCCTTCTGGCAGACTGCATGTACTCGGCTCATTACAATATAGATGTCTGGATTATTGGAACTTCACGTGTCCGAGGGCTAAACAAATTGGTTAAATTAAAACAAGTTATGAACAGGATAAGAAGTATAAAAGCCAAAGTTGTATTTCTCCAAGAAACACATTTGACAGCTGAGGATATCATTAGAGTGAGGAGAAGATGGCCAGGTCATGTGTTTCATTCCTCCTTTAGCTCTCAATCCAGGGGTGTAATCACACTGATTCACAAATCACTACCTTTTCATTTGATAAATACACTGCAGGACAAGGCTGGGAGATATCTCATTGTTGAATGATAGCATCAGTTGAATTTTGTGAATGTATATGGTAGAAATGACGACACTCCATCATTTTTTCGTAATCTATTTTTGTCCTTGGCTTCATTAGCTGGGCATTTAATTATTGGGGGTGACTTCAATTGTACACTCTATCCAAATATTGATAGACTGTCTGGGATTGACACCTCACACCTGCAGACTCGGAAAGAGCTGCTCCAGTGTATGGTGGAATTTAACGTTGTAGATCTGTGGAGAAAGATGCATCCAGATGAGCTCGCATTCTCTTGCTATTCCAGCTCCCACAGTTCTCTTTCAAGAATTGATTATTTTCTTATATCAGCACAATTGATGCCCCATGTTACTCATTCTTGGTAAAGCAGTATTGTTTTATCAGATCATGCCAGTGTCTCTTTTCTATTAAGATAAGCCTAACCTACCTCCCTCGACCACTAGATGGCGCCTTCAGACCTTTTGGCTCAAGGATCCGGATTTCTTAGAATATATAGAACAACAAATAGATTTTTATTTTGACTATAACACGGACCAAACCTCTGCAAGTTTACGTTGGGAGGCCTTCAAAGCTTTCTTAAGAGGGCAGATGATAAGTTATACATCCTTTAAATTTAAATCCTCTAGAATTGAAATGGAAGAGTTGGAAAGAGGAGATAAATAAAAAATCATTGCCTTCCCTTTTTTCAGAATTAAACAAACTTAGGGCTAAATACAATTTATTATCAGTAAATAAGGCCATGAGAAGTTTACTGAGGATAAAACAGTCATACTACGAACAAGGTGAGAAGGCCAGTAAAATTCTGGCTCGGCGTATTAAACAAAATCAGACAGATTTTCAATTGCAGTAGAGGGTGATGAGATTACAATGGACCCCAAAAAGATCAAAGTTTTCTAGTTTTTACCAAACTCTTTATAAATCAGAATATTCTGATAGTGCCTTACCTAAACAGAACCACTTTTTGGACCAGTTGAACTTCCCCACTCTTGAGGATAACAGTGCAGAGGAGCTAGAACTCAGCATTACGAAAGAGGAGATTATTAAGGCCATGTTGTGCATGAAGGGAGGTAAAAGTCCAGGACCGGACTCAATACCAATGGAAATATTCAAAGCTTTTAAAGATAAACTTGCACAACCCTTGCTAGATATGTATCAGGAATCCTTTAAGAATGCGTCCCTGCACTCATCATTAAATATTGCCACAATTACTTTGTAGGGTCCAAACAGTGAAGCCATGTAGTTGACACTCTCATAATCCATATAGTGTGTAAAGTGAGTGAATAAATCCAGGGAACAGTAAAATGCAATAAAAAAACTCTTTACTGAGTATTCACAAAACAAAAACACATACTGTACAAAAAGAAAAGAACTAGAGGAGAGAGTATATCGAGAGAGTATCGAGGTCAAAAAACTGTGTGGCTCCACTCCACACTCCCCCTGGCACAGCTGCACCTTAACTAGGGCCAGGACTGAGAAGAAATACAAAAATATATATTAAATCAAAATAAATCAATGATTAACTTAGCAATAATGACTTACAAAACAGCTAACTAAATTAGATGCAAAATATCCAAATTAAATCAATTGCCAATTAATCATAAATCTAATCTAATCGCAAAAATAATGTATTTCAATCAAATAATAACACAAACAAAAAGAAATGTATCAAAATACAATCAAAACAACTAAACCTCTATTTAGGCTCCTACATACTTTGTTGTTGAAGCCCAATAAACCAGCAGCCGATTGTAGCTCTTATAGGCCAATTTCACTTCTAAATTGTGACTCTAAAATCCTGTGTAAAGTACTGGCTCCAAGACTTGAACCACTTTTACCAAAAATAATACATCTGGACCAAAACGGGAAAAAAATGGGATTTATTGCGATTAATTCATTACAAAGCTTTTAATTAATTAGATCTTTTTTAATCGAGTCCCAGCCCTAGTTTTTGGGGAGAAAGGGGTTTTAGTTGTATTTATTTATTTTTATTCATATTTTATTTTGACATAACAAAATGTCACAGAAACATTGTTCATCGTCATAATACAGGACATTTCCATTTTTCCAATGATGGGCTCATAGTACAGTCCTATGTCACCATTTATCAACAGATTATGCCCATATAAAAGGTTTACCAAAATGGTAAAAGAAAGGAACATAAGAGTAAAGAAAAATACAAATAAAAACTGGAGTAGTGTTCATGCGGTAAAGGGAGACAATAAATGTTCTAACAAATGGGGAAAAGTCACAGAAAGTCTGCTCTAGTTGGGGAAATGTATTTTATCCATTTGTTCCAAATGCAATAAAATGTTTCTCTTTAATGTTTATAATATAGGTTAACTTTTCCATTTGATTGATCTCAAACACTATGTCAGTCCAGCCGTCCAGTGAGGGCCGTGTGGGACTCATCTCTTAGTAATAATCTTTTTACTTGCTGCAAGGAGGATTTGTAGAAACTTTCTGTCACTTCTTCTTTCCACGAAGGTAACTTTACCCAAATACAAACACTCAAAGTTAAAAGGAATGACAACACCAAACACTGAACTCAGGCTTATCTGAATTTCTCTCCAATACCCTTGTAATTTCCAACACGACCAAAATATGTGGAAATGATTTGCCACAACTGTGCCACACTGTCTCCAGCACGACAAGTCATTTGTGCGTTTGCACTGAGCTGGAGTTTTGAAATATCTAATGATATTGTTCCAACAGTGTTGTCTCCAGGTCAGAGAGGCAGAGTCCACTGGAAAGCCAGCATACGAGCCCATTCATCCTCTGATATCACTGCTGCTGCCTCCCTTTCCCATGTCTGCTTTATATAGACAGTCTCACATCTGTCATTTGGAAATATGGCTTTGTAAATTCTCTAAATCATTCTCTGTGACATAGACCCATATGCTGACTTTAGTGTTTTAAAAAACTCTTCTTCAGAGTCAGTAAAATGAGCTGATTTACATTTAGAATTAAAGTTGGACCTGGAGGTACCTAAAAAAATCTGTTTGTAAATTGTGTCTTGTCTGTAATCCTAGAAAACGTTGAAAAACATTTGTCTCTGTAAATGACCAGTAAGTGGTCAAACCCTTCTTTACCCAAGATTTAAAAACACAATCATTTTGTTTGGAGGGAATTCTGTATCGAAGGCACACCATCTGAACAAAGTCAGCATTTTCTCAGTCTGAGTGAGTTTAAGAACCTTGTCCCACACCTTGAGAGTTAAATCCACCCAACAGTTCCCACTTTCTCTCAGCTGAGGTCTCAGTTTCCTGTCCCCAATTCCGGCCTGCAGAGGAAATGCTGTTGACATTCCACACTCTAGTTCCTTCCATTCTGCTTTGTAATCATCATTACACCAACATAAGAGAGGAATCAGCTGAGACGCAAAACAGAAGTACCTAAAACATGGTAGGGCCATTCCTCCTTTCTCTTTACTCCATTGCATTGTGCAGTATCGGATCCTAGGCCTTTGTCCTTGACAGATAAAACGTGATACCTGTTTGTCCCACTCCCTGGGGTTTTAGTTTTTAGTTTTATAAATTCTCCACCACTGCTCCTGACGTAAGCCTCAGCAGCATCTGGGTCAAATGCAGCCTGGCCTTATCCATCCGTACACTCGGTCATTATCATTTCCTGCATGTAACGTCTGGGTCTGGTCCCTGTGTTTGTGATTACAATCGGCTGAATCCCATCCGACCAATCAGAGAGCGCGGGAGGCGGGTGTTGTAGTTAGATGTGGGTGACGTCAAGAGTTTGTGTCGAACGGGCAGGTTGTAGTTTGGCGGAGAATACGATAGTAAAGTATTCTGCTCTGGTTCTATCAAGAAACTGAAGCCGGAGCAAGAGGAATGTTTAGCAAATGTAATCTCTGGAAAAGATTGTGGCGCTACTCCCCACGGGCTCCGTTAGCGCCAAAGGAGATGGCTAAAGCTAGGCTAAATGCTAAAGCTAGGCTAAATGCTAAATGCTAACGACTCACTCGGGCTCATTACAAACGTCACGGTAAACTCAGATCCAATGGTTTCAATCTGCAAAAGGAGTTAGCCCCTCCCACCTGTTAACGGAGTCTGTGTGTACTATGCTGTGGTACGACCAGGCTGGGTCAAATGCAGAGGATGAATTATCCTACGGGGATTAATAAACTTTATCTTTACCTGACCCAAAATCTTATGGATTTTTTTTTTATTTATTAAAAGATGAATATAATAAAAAACGAATAAATAAATCTGTTTAATGTAAAAAAAAGTCTAAATGTGTCCTTTTTAAATAAATAAAACCTCAAACCGATGATGAACCTTTGATTTCTTCAAAAGTCACTTTGTAATTAAGTCACAAACACTGACCTCAGTTTGTTCTGAAGAAACATTAAAAACATTAAAAACTGAGTCTTTCTATAGATTTGTTTTCAGTCACTTTTCTTTTCATGTTTTTATCGTTTCTCTTTCGTGCTCATTACATCATGTTTTCTTTATTCAGGTTGGAGCGCTGTGGTTTGTCAGAGATCAGCTGTTCCTCTGTGGCCTCAGCTCTGGAGTCCAACCCCTCACATCTCACACTCCTGGACCTGGGTCAGAACATTCTGTCTGATTCAGCAGTGTCTGATCTGTGTGGTTTTCTACAGAGTCCAGACTGTCGACTGGAGACACTCAGGTCAGTTCACTGCACAGAAACACTACACACTAAAGTGTTTCATATGAAACTGCAAACACACTTTAAATGATTATAAATGATTCACACAAACATCTGTTACTGTCAATGTCTTTAACTCATGTTTATATTATATTCAAATAGTTTCTCACATTTATGCACCACTTACATGGAACTTCAAAGCTACAACTGTGTTTAAGGCTGAGAAAAGTCTCATGTTTTTGGTCGGGCCGGGACTTTAACGAGTTCATTAAGATTAATTAATTATTTAAAAAATGAGCGCCTTAAAAAAATTAACGCATTTTAATCGTATTTATTTTTGCACCGCGGAACATTTCTCACTGGATGAGTTTCAGACGGACCGATTATACTGACGCACCAACTGACAACAAACCTGTGAACATGAACCATGGATCTATTATAATAACTGGGTATTACAGCTTGGAGCTTAAGGACCCATGTGCTCACTGCAGACTAAACCAGACTAAACCAGACTAAACCAGTCCAAACCAGACTAAACTAGACTAAATCAGACCTAAACCAGTCTAAACCAGTCTAAACCAGACTAACCCAGACTAAATCAGACTAAATCAGACTAAACCAGTCTAAACCAGACTAAAACAGACTAAATCAGACTAAACCAGTCTAAACCAGACTAAACCAGACTAAACCAGACTAGAACAGACTAGAACAGACTAAACCAGACTAAACCAGACTAAACCAGACTAAACCAGTCTAAACCAGACTAAACCAGACCGTTGGTTGGCCCTGTGGATGGGAAGTATATTTCTAAATATGGTATTGCACTTAAAGGCAAAACTTGCACTGGTCTGTTGGACTTGAACAAAAATAAACAATATTTGTGTTGCTTAAACTTAATGTATTCATCATTATTTAATGTTTACTAAAAATCCATGTGAAAAAAATTACTTCTCTCTGTTCTCAGGTCAAATATTTATATGTGATTAAAATGGGATTAATTGCGATTAATTAATTACAAAGCCTCTAATTAATTTGATTTTTTTTTTATCGAGTCCCAGCCCTAGTTTTTGGGGAATAAGGGTTTTAGTTTTATAAATTCTTTCCTTTCGGCTCAGCTCCCTCTTTACCACAACGGTCCGATACAGCGACCGCATCACTGCGCACGCTGCACCGATCCGCCTGTCAATCTCACGCTCCATCCTTCCCTCACTCGTGAACAAGACCCCGAGATACTTGAACTCCTCCACTTGAGGAAGGACCTCTCCACCCACCTGAAGAGGGCAGGGCACCTTTTTCCGGTCGAGCACCATGGCCTCAGATTTGGAGGTGCTGATTCTCATCCCAGCCGCTTCACACTCGGCTGCAAAGCGCTCCAGTGCATGTTGCAGGTCCTGGTTCGTTGGAGCCAACAGGACAACATCGTCCGCAAACAGCAGAGATGAAATCACCCAGGACCTCAAGTGGGAGCGACCATCAGCTCCTCATCAAGAAGACCCAGCAGAGGATGTACTTCCTGCGGCAGCTCAGGAAAGCCAAGCTGCCTGCACAGATGTTGGTGCAGTTCTACACGGCCATCATCGAGTCCATCCTCATCTCCTCCATCACCTCCTCATCACCTCCTCATCACCTCCTCCATCACCTCCTCCATCACCGTGTGGTTCGCTGGAGCCACAGTCAGGGACAAACAGAGACTACAGCGCATTGTGCGCTCTGCAGAGGAAGTGATCGGCCGCAGCCTTCCATCGCTGCAGGACCTGTACGTTGCCCGAGCTCGAGGCCGGGCTGGTCGTATCACAGCCGACCCCTCCCACCTGCACATGGACTATTCCAACCACTCCCCTCAGGCAGGAGACTGCGGTCCATCAGGACTAGAACCTCCCGCCACAAGAACAGTTTCTTCCCCTCTGCTGTTGGACTCTTGAACACTTCTTAACCTGTCCCCCCGCCCTTTATAAAGTCACTTTACTGACCATCATACGTCACTTTACTTCACTGTACTGCTGTCACCTTACATGGTGTGCACCATGTGCACTTGTATATTGTAAATAGTAACTAACTAAATTTAAAATGTATTCCTTAGAAGTGTTTTTTATTCTTTATTTTTATTATCTCTTTCTGACTGTTGCACTGAGCCAAAGCAATTTCCAAGTCTGTGACCTCCGGTTACTTACGTGGCAATAAAAATGATTCTGATTCTGATTGTGATTCTGAAATCCTGTGGTCCCCGAACCGGACCCCCTCCGACCCCTGGCTGCGCCTAGAAATTCTGTCCATGAATACAGTGAACAGAACCGGTGACAAAGGGCAGCCCTGTCAGAGGCCAACATGCACCGGGAACAGGTCTGACTTACTGCCGGCAATGCGCACGCATAGGAAACCGATTCCACTAATACGTTTAGTTAATCAACTTAAACCAATGAAGTTCTACCAGTACTCAAATTGAAATGATCATGTGAACTCAAATACTTGGGTAAAAAAATTGATTAAGTTAATGAATTGGACTCTTACTGCACAAACATGTATTTCCAAATAAAATAGTCTCCATACTCAAATGCTGTATTACTCAGGACTTATTTAAATAGGTTAATTTTACTTATACATTTGATAAACCTTAACTCTATGATTTAAAATGTTGTACCCAATAGCTTCACTCTCATAAACCCAGTTTAAATGGTTTGCTTAACATTGTTGAGGTACGACTAAAATGATTGATAAAATAAAGTATCAAACACCTTTTCCCAATGAACATGTTTATTGACAAAACACCTCTTATAAACTGGTTCCAGAGACTAGTTGTATAACATTTAAGGAAACATCTGGCTTGTCACAATTATATTCACTACTTGCACAAATCCCATAATACTTAGCGGCGCTGGGGGTAACCAATATAGGCTGTATGAAGTTATAAGGAACAGGTTTGTTTAAGATTGTGTGTGTCGAGTTTAAACTTCTCGCAAGGTTTAGGGAAGCTAATATCAGGCTCTAAGTTTTAAGCTCACAATGCATTATGGTATTGGGCAAGCAGCGAATTACTAGTTTGGCTCAATATTTATCTGTAAATGAAGATTGAATAATGTATTTAAAAGAAAATTACAAGGCACGTTTATGATCAATGTTTGATTATTATTGTAAAAAAAAATTACGTTTTTTGTAAAACAGTGCTCTCCATCACAATGAGATATTTTGTGCATCTCATTAAACAAAAGGGAACTAAAATGGTGCATTCATATATGTATAGTTAGCGTAGTTCAGATTAGCCCTGCTGCATTGCAAAAGCACTAGTCTAACAAAAATAGTTATTGTGACAGGCCAAGGAACACTATTTTTGAACACAACAGATTGGCATTTTTGGTCTACTAGACATCTGTACATCAGAGAACAAATTATATTCCTCTTTTTAGTTGATGAATTGAACACTAAGGTTACATGTTAAATAATTGGTACTTCAAATGAATTCCAACTCCTTTTATATAGTTAAATACTGATGTCATCTGAACAAAGCACTTCAATGGTTGTTTCTGCACCTTATTGTTTATGCTACCCTTTTAATGTCTTGTGACGATCGTTTGTATTTTTAGTCTGTTTTTATGTTGTCTCATGGTTGCAATCTGGAACACAAATGCAAAAGCACCCAATGTGTTTTTTTCTAATAAAAATGGCAAATAAACTAAATTTAAAAAAAGTTGTCAGTGGTGCCTAATTAATTTTGGTCGGAGGCCGAATAGTGATTGTTGGGGGCCACACATTTTTCTGGAAAATTTGTTTAAAGCTTTTGCATCTTTCTCTTAAAATTATGATAAGCATGTGGCTTTGATGTCTAAAATAGCTCCGATCATTTTGGCACAGAATCGAATTCTGAATTTAAGTCACTTACCTGTTCATAAACTGTCAGAAGTTGTTCCATCTTTTCCCCCCAGGGACCTGATCTCTTCTTTTTGTAAATCTCAATGAGTTTTTGTGCGTATTTATCAAGCGAAGCATAAAAGAGATGGGGCAGGTTCTCATTAGTTATCCAAAGAAACTCTCTGTAGAGCTGGGGGGAGGGAGCATGAGCTGTCAAAAATGTAGAGCACAAATAAAACAAAAATGTTTCCAGTAAATGTGATTTCTTTGCCTCTGTTAAAGATTTACCTTTTAACATGTTTCGTCGGTCTTGCCTTAGTCTTCGCAGGGGATGACAACCACCTGAAAAAATGAAAATAAAGAAATAATGAGAACTCGAGATTATACATCAGCAAAAACATTAAGACTTTTAATGTATACACCTTTTGAAAACAAGACTTAAGTATAAATACTTTTATAACTCACTTTCATATTTGACATGGACTGACCCTCAAAATGTGAGTGTGAAAATCACATCTAAAAAAGAGGTAGGCGTAATAAGGCTTAATCTTAAAACAACGTAAAGACATGTATTTTTCTGTATGTATTTACATGTCGATAAATAACTGTACAAAACATAACATTGAATTATTTCATAATTTCACTGCGACTGAAACGTAAATGTAAATCTGTCAAGTCACTCGTCAAACTGAGAAGGCGAGACTTCCTGTGCTTTGGGCGAGTCAATTTCACTCAGTTTCTGAGGCTCCTTTTTATTAAACTCTGCAGGGTTCCCCTGAAGTGAAATTGACTTGCCAAAGCACAGGCCGGACCAAGTCCCGCCTTCAGTTTGACAAGTGACTGACAGATTTACATTTCATGGTCGCAATGAAATCAATTAAATGTGTGTGTGTGATTGATATATTATGTTTCTTAAAATGTATTGACAAAAGTATTTCTGTAAACATTGTTTCATCACATGTATTGGCACATTTAATTATATAAATATTACATCTTGGATCTTTGTTGTAGCAATGGCTAAATATGGTCGAAAATATTTTCCCCTTTCTGGCAGTACAGACGTACACCCACACAAGCAGTATGTGGATAATTTGGGTGTGTTTTCATAGGCAAATATTAGATTTATTTCGTTTCAATTTTGGGCATTTAAAAAAAAAGGCATTCAATTTGGTATTCAGTTAAGACGTGACTATCACTGTACCTAATTCCAACTAAATCGGAGATTGTGCTGCTGGAGGCTCTGGTCCATTTGACACAGACTGACCCTATAACCAAAGAAGAAATTACCCACAAAGCAGAAAATTGAGGGATGGCTTCTTGTCGCTAGTCTACACAGGAACCCAATTTCTATTCAGAGGGACAGAAAAAATATGTTGAAGTGACAAAGTCAAAGTCAGTGAAAATATACAACAACAAACAAATTCACAGAATTATCACAAAACAAAATTTAAACAGTACAATTTGGTAACTATTTACTGTGTGGGTTCTAGGTTATATATGCAGTAAATACGCTCTCAAAATACACATTTTCTAATCTGAATTTCATATTCATTTACTCCCGAACATTAATACGTTTCTCTCAAATACAATGAACCGAGGTCTTGACGGTCCTTTTCTCCTAGCATAGCACCACGTGATTAAACAAAATTAAGCTAACATCATGCTAACGCCATGCTTTCAAAATGGAGCAATCCCCGATACCACGAGCATCATCAAAAATACTGTTCAAGCATGATAAGTAAACGTGAATTTCAACTGTAATAAAACAGCAACCAACATACGTCGTCGAACCACGACTTTACGCACTTACATGCCTATGTAAGTGCTCGCTCCTTTACATATCCTAGCATGACGCAATGTGACTTAGCAAAATTAAGCTAATGCTAACATTAAGGTAATGGACGCTAGCCCCTAGACCACGAGCAACCATGCGAGCAACATCGAACATGTTGTTTAAACCTCAAGTAAACGTGAATAAAAATGAGAAAACTACGCACACTAACCATGACTTTACAGATACGAATGTACGTAACGCTAGCTCCTTTTGCTATTGTAGTACAGGGCCATGTGACAGAGCAAAGTTAGGCTAAAGAGTTAGCTCTATCAGATATGGCAAAAGCATGTTCTTAGCAGAATTATAGAAACTACAGAGTATACATGTAAAGCACACGTTAAATCACCCAATGTATGTCTGTCGTTGCTTCTTTAAACTTAATAGAAAGGCGCCATTCGGCAAGAAAAAACTATAGTAGCACTGGCGATATCAATATGGCGCTAACCCGGTCCCAGTCATAGGCAGGGATGGAACGGTGCATATCTATGCAGATTAAGCAAAAGTCAAATCCGTTCGCTAAACTCGACTTTACACGGGTTCTATGGCATATTACAATCTATCAAAGTTATGTAAAGTGGTGCTAATTACCGAGTGAAGTCGTCCGGACACGACGTGCGCTCTCATTTCTTCTGAAGACTTAACGACGAGGTTAAGACCGTGTGCAAAACTAAAGTCAAGAGGGGCGTTCACACTCACCTGCGCATGCGTAGTCAGAGAAAACAAATACATACATGGATATTGATTATTGTTTCATTTGAATCAATAAAATGTAAGCAATCAACCATTTAAATAATGAAATAGTAGTTCTTATATATGAAGAACTTAAGGCCTTATGACTGATAAATTAGCTCAGCGTGATGAGCGCAGTTCTACCGTTTTAGCGGCTGGGGTTCAATTCCCTCATAGCCCATCAATAAGATAACATTTTAGAAATTGCCAAATCTAAGGAGAAAAATAAACGTAAAACGTTTAAAAACATTTAATAAATATGTATCTCATAATTATTGCATTTCTGTGCCCATTATATTTTTGAAATAAGATTGCAACATGTTTTGTACTTGATAAAAAATACATAAAAACCTTTTTACAAGTGTGTATAACAAAAATATTAACAACAATGTTGCATACATTTCAATACATATTGGATAAAAGTCAATCAAAATGAGTTAATGCATCATATATTAAGTTTTGGGCTTTTGTAACTCAGTTGGTTTGGTTATATTGACCTTTCAGCAGAACTGAGTTAGAGTAACTCACTTCATTTAGTAAGATGTACTGTTGGGTTTTACAGTGTAGTTGGTCCTCCATCTCCGACGTCCACCGGACTTTCTGGTGCTGCCGCTGACTGTTATGATTCTTTTCTGGTGTTTCCTCGCCGCCTCGTCACCTGGTCTTCTGATTGGCTACACGCCGCAGTCCACTGGCAGCGTGCTCGTCTGTCCCCGACACCACACATGAAGAGAAATCAGGCCAAAACAATCCAACATGTTGGATATCCCTGAGATCGGAGCAGTCCCAAAGTCCTTCTGAGCGACGCAGTCTGAACACACCACACATGGAAAATCCATCAGATTATTTTTACAAATATCAGAGCGTTCTTAAGATTGTCGTTAGGGGTAAATCAGGTCTTAAATCTGCCTAATTATCCTGCCGTGTGAACCAGGCTTAACTGTTTCGCTTCAGCTTGTTGTTGAACAGGTTCTAAAACTGTCACAAAATCTAGTGAAAAAGTGATTTCAAATAAAAAGAAAATATATAAAATAAAATATCAATAAATCTGTTTAATGTAAAAAAAAGTCTAAATGTTTCTTTTTAAATAAATAAAACCTCAAACCGATGATGAACCTTTGATTTCTTCAAAAGTCACTTTGTAATTAAGTCACAAACACTGACCTCAGTTTGTTCTGAAGAAACATTAAAAACATTAAAAACTGAGTCTTTCTATAGATTTGTTTTCAGTCACTTTTCTTTTCATGTTTTTATCGTTTCTCTTTCGTGCTCATTACATCATGTTTTCTTTATTCAGGTTGGAGGACTGTGGTTTGTCAGAGATCAGCTGTTCCTCTGTGGCCTCAGCTCTGGAGTCCAACCCCTCACATCTCACAGACCTGGACCTGAGGTGGAACAAACTGTCTGATTCTGATGTGAAGAAGCTCCTGAGACTCCAACAGAGTCCTCACTGTCGACTGCAGACTCTGAAGTGAGTAGTGACTTCTTGGTTCTGTTTTGAGCTCGGAGCAAGTGGCTCAGATGTGACTGTGTTCTAAACCCGAGGCGTGTGCAGTCGAGCCTCTTCAACACTTCATACACAACATGAGGTCATCAGTGCTTTTCATATCAGATAAACCAGACTCTGTATCCTGTGTCTCTGTATCCTGTGCCTCTGTATCCTGTGTATCTGTATCCTGTGCCTCTGTATCCTGTGTCTCTGTATCCTGTGTCTCTGTATCCTGTGTCTCTGTATCCTGTGCCTCTGTATCCTGTGCCTCTGTATCCTGTGCCTCTGTATCCTGTGTCTCTGTATCCTGTGTCTCTGTATCCTGTGCCTCTGTATCCTGTGTCTCTGTATCCTGTGTCTCTGTATCCTGTGTCTCTGTATCCTGTGCCTCTGTATCCTGTGTCTCTGTATCCTGCGTCTCTGTGTCCTGCGTCTCTATATCCTGTGCCTCTGTATCCTGTGCCTCTGTATCCTGTGCCTCTGTATCCTGTGTCTCTGTATCCTGTGCCTCTGTATCCTGTGTCTCTGTATCCTGTGTCTCTGTATCCTGTGTCTCTGTATCCTGTGTCTCTGTATCCTGTGTCTCTGTATCCTGTGCCTCTGTATCCTGTGCCTCTGTATCCTGTGCCTCTGTATCCTGTGTCTCTGTATCCTGTGTCTCTGTATCCTGTGCCTCTGTATCCTGTGTCTCTGTATCCTGTGCCTCTGTATCCTGTGTCTCTGTATCCTGTGTCTCTGTATCCTGTGTCTCTGTATCCTGTGCCTCTGTATCCTGTGTCTCTGTGTCCTGTGTCTCTATATCCTGTGTCTCTGTATCCTGTGTCTCTATATCCTGTGTCTCTGTATCCTGTGCCTCTGTATCCTGTGTCTCTGTATCCTGTGCCTCTGTATCCTGTGTTTCTGTATCCTGTGCCTCTGTATCCTGTGTCTCTGTATCATGTGTCTCTGTATCCTGTGCCTCTGTATCCTGTGCCTCTGTATCCTGTGTCTCTGTATCCTGTGGTTGGACTGATCTCTTCTTCTTCACAGGTATAAATAATAATCTGCAGCTGCTGCTCAGAGGAAACTGACAACATGGAACAGAAACAGCTGCTCTCTACGAAGGTTATTTTGTGTTTTTATTATCACTTTTTATTAACACTTTTTTTTTGCTTTTGAATCCTATAAACTGTAACAAAAAGTATTCAGTGTAAATAAATTCAATGTTTAAAAATTCAGTGTCCAAAAATTCGGAGCATTTTTTTTCGCTGCTTGAAATGTCATTTACTTTATTTCCGGGTAAATCAAGACAGAAGCAATCGATCAGCCAATCCTCCATAGATGTAGCCAGGGCCAGAACACGACTTTGCCTTTATCTGAATGTCCGCACTATACCGTGTGGGACTATTGTGAGTGACTGAGTGGACTCATTCTGATGGTGATTCGGACGCTGCACACTATTATCAGGCCGTGCTGTTGTACGTGAGCGTCCCGCTGTAGCGTGGATCACGGAGCGGAGAGAGGAGCGGCCATGACAAGGTAAAGGTAAAACTTTAATTTACGTTTTAATTAGGACATAACATTTAATTGTATTAACATTGGAGGTGGGAAATAGCCCCTTCTATTGTTATATCAGAGGTCTGTTTGGTAATTAAACAGATTTTCTTTGGACTTTTCCTCCAGCCTTGAGCTCCAATGCTAACACGCTAACCACGGGTGTAGAGCTGCGCTGATGCCCAGAATGGAGCGTCATGCCCTGGGAGTCATTTTGAGAGCTCCCTTATGCTAACAGTCTTAACTGTGGAAGTAATTATGAAAACCCAAAAAGGCGGCTTTTGTATCATACTTTCTCTGTTATAACAGTTGTTTTAAGAGTAATCATTAGTCTTAAAAATGTGATATTTCATGTAAATAATGCATGTGTTTAGTGCGATTGATGAACTCTAAGAAATAAAGTGTTGGATTTAATTGATACAGTTATGGCAAACTTTTCCATAAAACTCAGTCAATTCATTGTGAAATAACTTTGTTGTTATCTGCAGCCTCTGTGGTCCCTTATATCAGATGTAACATTGTTATTTAAATGCAACAGCTCTGAGTGATTACATTCTACTGAATGCTGTTCAATGGTTATTAACAATGTTATGTTGGATTTAATTAACATTATTCATTTGGATTTAAGTGCATCACTAGCATTGTACTTTGGATTTAATTAACACTATTAGTTATGATTTAATTAACACCCTTAGTTATGATGTATAAACATTATTAGTTTTGATTTATTAACAATATTAGTTATGATTTAATTAACAGCATTGTTTGATTTTTAAATAGATTTTAATATTGATGTGTAATCAAAACTAGTGTAGTGTAAAATGTAGATAAAATTGCACTTGTCGTCTTTAGTCTAATCAGAGGTTGGATCTTTCATCTCACGTCCTCGAGGATCTCCTCTTATAGATCCCAGCTCTAGGATGTGAGATGAAAGAACCTCTCTAGACCAGCCATTCCCAAACTCAGTAACACCGAGGCCCCCTTAAAAATCTAACGGGTCTGCGTGGGCCCCAAAATAATAACCAAGAAGACAACATTAAGAATAGGCTCTTCTGGTTATTTTATTTTGGGGAAATAGCCTCTGCTACAAACATTGTAATACAAAAATGATTACAGTGGATTATTCAAGTCAAATAATGAACACACATATTTTAATATTACAAACAAAACATTATAAATTTAACATTAAATCATTATATTATTTTTTAATTTTTTTATGACCTCCCGCGGCCCCCCTGCAGTACCCTCGCGGCCCACCAGGGGGCCGCGGACCCCACTTTGGGAGACACTGCTCTAGACAATAGACCGCTGAAGAACCTTTCTCTACTTTCACACAGAGACATTAACAATTAAACATTCAATAACCTGGAAACATCTATGACTGAGCAGATACAAATACACAATTATGTTGCATTAACAACTTTATTTTTAACGAGGCAAAACTCCTTTGAAAAAGTGTACATAAAGCAGTTGTATTAAAAATCAAAAACATTCTTTCTCTTTCAACAAAGTGACAAATGGATTACATCAAGTGCAGGACAAAGATCTTATACATTTGTGGATCTGCTGTTGATCTGCAGAGTTCATACGACACACAATGTTTCTACTGCTCAACATTTGCAGAACCTTTGCAGCACAAACAAGGAATAAACATAAACATGCATTTAAGGAAGTTATCTCAAATATTTAGAACATTCAAAAGTGTCACATTTTAAACAAAAATCACTGCATATTACATGAACAAAACATTGAAAAACAGTGCATTCACAAACTTTGGAACAAGTTAGATTAAACAAAAACTGGGCGACTTTGTGCCCATTTGTGAAGTCTTTTTTCTCAGACAAAACCAAATAACTGCAGACAGCAGATTGTGAAAATACTTTTCAGAGAGCATTAAACTAAAATGATTTTCTCACAAACACAGGTGACCTACAAACTGTACAGTCCAACTTTTGTTTATGAAGATAATTGAGAATGTAACATTCTCTGTTGAACTCTCTCGATGGAGGCTTTATTACTCTGCAGGAGGACGTTAAACTCCTGTGGACTCAGGAGCAGCTCCTGCTCTTCAGCACTTGTGTTTTGTTTGAACGTTTTTCATCATCCAGTCCCAAAAGCACTTTCTGGATGAACTCAAATGTGCAGCGGAGTGTTCTTGGATAACTCAGATTGAGGCAGTAAATTAGTGCACAATGCACATCACACCACATCTCCAAGATCCAGCAGCACCGGAGCACCTGGAGCATCTTTCAATCACGTTCATCTTCAAGGGAGTCACCAGGTTGTGCGCCTTCACAGGTGACTTCATAAACGTCAATCTGCTCAAGTTCCTCATTCTTCATGACACAGACATCCTGAAAGAACACAAATATATTTTAAATCCATTACACGTTGACAGCTGTGATTGTGAACGGCAATAAGAAGTATTGGTTGGTTTTCAAATATACCATAAACAAGTGTTGTCACATTATGCAAAAGATGTTCATTTTACAAGACTGTAGGGTGGGACCATCAATACCATATTAAAGGGACCATCAATTACTTATTTATGAAGGGAAAAAATAGAAAATTGATATAATAATTGCCCAAGGGTGGGGGAGGGGGGTTTGGGGGGGTGTGGGGTTGCTAATCCATGGAGTTGTTTTGCAGATATATACTTTCCGGAGATCTTCACAACTCCACCATCTCACAACCTGAGAGAACACAATACAGTTGCGGCCGGCCAATATAGGGCGCTAGGAGGGTCGGCGCGCCGACCACGCACACGACTAACTTGGGCCATTTTACCTGGGGGATTGTGAAAAAAACGTTAAAAAAAATAATAACATTAAAATATTTTCTGTAAATGTATGTGTGTTATAATATTCAAGATGTAGGGAATGAAATGTAAGCAATATTAGTATAGTTGTTCTAGAGAGGGTATTGGATAAAGTGGCTCATCTAGCGTTGTCTGTGTCGGACTGAGGACTATTACCGCCTCAGGGACGTCGGTGGCAAAAGATTGGGGCCCTGAGCCGTCTATGGGACTCACTTTAAAAGTTTTACATAAGTGCGGTGCCATTAGCCTCCTCATCAATGCAAGAGATATAAGACGATTTTGGGGTCGCAGAGAAGTGCGCCCAGCGGGAAGCGGAATCGCCCGCGTGTGGGACATTACTGTCACTTTACTGTTGACGTTCCTTTACAGTGAATTGACAGGTCAAAGCTGTGGGGGTTGAGGACGAACGTAAAGCAGACGGCACAATGAGAACGAGAAAAAGAATAATTCAGTTTGGATCACTCTAAACAATAATTCCGTTTGAGAGAATATCATACCAGGAGTAGGTTGCGGTTAAATGAGTGCTTGGACCTGATCAGACCAAATATTACCATAGTCAGTCAGTCCAGCGACAGGCTGAGGACGGTACAGCTCGTTCAACTTTTTTCTGGGGCAGTGACCGCATGGTTCAGCTGTCCAAATCTTGGCTAGCAAGGCATTTAGGGCAGAGGCTAAATGCATTATTTTGGCTTTCCATGCCTACATTGTTTCCAAACATCATGATCTGACGTCCAGCATTGGATCAAGTACAGGTATGACTGATCTGAAGCACTTTTTAGAAAAGGCAAAGACGGCATGAGGGCAGACTGGTATCCACGCAATCAAAATGCGCCACCAAAAAATTAGCTATGTTAGGGAAGATAAATAAGTTCATGCAGAATGCCCCAGCTGGATGAAAGCTAACAGGGTAAGGGATCTAGAAAGAAAGGCACAATGAGTGATGGGTAAGACAAGAAAACTCACAACCATCCAAAAGAGAATAGAGAACATTGTCAGAAAATTCTGTGGTGCATTTATATCGAGTCAGTCATATTCAATGTGATTCGATCCCCCCCAGTAGAAAATTCCACCAGGGCCGCCACAGAACACAATTAGAAGGAATTAGAAAGGGAGAAAATACAACAAAGAGCCTAAAAAAATAATATTACTCTATAGATGTAGTTTTAGGCACAGCATAACAACCACACAGATTGGCAAACCTGGTTAGAGAAAATATAAACACAGCCCCCGATCGCTGCAACAACATTCCACCAGCAACATTGTACTCAAATCAATAGTGTTTGTTAAGTCCCCACGTGATTTAGCATTTAGAGCATGTATAGGGTCTATAGCCTTCTCCTTCGTTTCCACTCAAACGTAGGCTAACATAGAGTCTACGAACAGGATGAATACAGACGGCCATACAGATACAAAAAGTATCCATGAAGTTGACAGACCGTCATGGCGCATACGCTGCGGATAGCCCCACGATAGGCGTGACCGTGAAATCAGATTTCCTTTCACCGTGGATCCGCCGCTTGCAAAGGTCCCACGAGGACTCTCCACGGTGAGCCACTTCCCATGTATTCTCCCCTTCACAATCTCTTTCAGGCGGTGGACAGCGGATAATAAACAAATTAAAAAAAGCAGCCTCGTGGTTTACAAGGCGTTGACTTAGGGAATTAAAATACACGTTTGTCCGTGCAGTT